GAAATGCGGTGACTTTTGGAAAACTCAGACACGGGGCTGATTACCAGGAGCCGCGCTGTGACTAGAGGGTGGGACCTGCCGTCCCTTCCCCCTGTAAGGTGGGCCCAGGGGCTGGCTCAGCGGTCAATGGCAGCGGTTTAGTTAATCGTGCCTGTGGAATGAAACCCCCATAAAAATCCAAAGGAGAGTGGGGGGCCTTCCGCCTCCTGGAGGAGCCACACGCTGAGGCCTCGACGTCCGGCTGCTGATTCAAACCCTTCGCTGGCCTTTGCGGTCGGTTGGCGGTGAGCACACGGGCTCCTGTGCAGCCCGTGGATGGAGGCGGCCTCCGCGGGACGGCGAGTGGTCCGCAGTCCCCGGAACAGCCTGGGCGGCAGGCTGGCGTCCGCGGAGGCTGGTCTCGGGGAGCGGAGCCGCCCACCCCTGACTGTGGGCGCTGTGTCTGGGCGGTTTGTGTCGGAGCCGAGCCGGGTCCTCGGACACCCAGCCGGTGTCGGCACCCTGCGCGGTGTGGGGGGGCCAGCGCCAGCGCAGGAGCCGGTGGCAGACCCCTGCTGCTCACCCGCCTGCCCAGGACCGTCCCCTGCCCACCTTGCCCCTTGCTCCAGGGCCCTGAACTCGGACCTGTGCTTCCTGGCCGGCGAGGCCGCCCTCCTGATTCCCCTCCGTCTCCCTGTGGCCTTCCCCTCGAAAGGCCGCTGAGGTGAAGAGCCAGGGCGCACACAGGACTCGCCTCCGGCGTTTCCCTCCCCACAAAGGTCGCAAGCGCCTGTCTCCTGTCGCTCAGCTCCTGGGCGCAACCGCCTCGGACATCGGCCCCATTTCATAGCTATGGCAGGAAGGCGAGTGTGGCTCTAGCTACACGTCCCCAATTCCCCAACGTGTCACCAGACAGCTGCACAAGCCCCAGGCCACGGGCCCCGCCGCCCAGGGAAGGCGCCGGCCACGCGCCTCTGAGGGGCGCCGCCGGGAAGCTAGTCTTTCACCATCGTTCCGATTACTATGGTCGCAACGGAGAAGAGAACAAACGAGCTATGAAAATTGTAATGGAGGGGATGCGATGCGGCCTCCTGCAGATCAGAGGATGAAACCCCTGAGGACGGACGGGAATGTTACACACCGTCGCTCCGTGCGGGGCCGGGACGACAGCCCGTGAGCAGGGGGGCGAATGAGAGACAAGATCCTCAGAAGCGAAAACACTCAGGAGCGAACCTGACAAGAAACCAAGGTAGCCCTGGGGGCCACCAGCAGAGACGGGGGCGCGAGGGCGCGCGGCCGCGGGTGGGAGGCTCGGCCTCGCGGCGACGTCTCCGCTTCCAGGGACCGACCCCCAGGCGTGAGGCCATGTGTGTGAGACGAAGCAGCGTTTGCCAGAGCCAAGAGGGAGCGCTTCTGGGGGGGGGGGGGCGTGCGGCTGGCGAAACGAGCCCCATGGGGCGCAGGCGGGGCCGGCGCCCCCACGGGCAGGCACGGCTCGAGACCGGTGGCCACGCGGAAAAGGTCAAAGTGCCACCACGCTCATTTGCGAAACGTGTGTGTGTGTGTGTGTGTGTGTGTGTGGTTTGCATGTTTAGAATGGCCTGGGCCCGGGCCCGCGTGGCTCAGTGGGCTGGAGCGCCGTCCCGTACCTGAAGGGTGGCAGCTTCGACCCCCAGCCCAGGTGTGCGTGGGAGGCGACCCATCAGTGCCTCTCTTTCTCCCTCCCTCTTCCTCTGAAAGCAATGAAAAAATGTCCTCCGGTGTGGATTAAAAAATGAAAAAAGAATAAAAAAAGGATGGTTTGGCTCCTAAGAAAAAGGAAACCTAGCTCAGCAGGAGGCGCGCGGGCGGGCTTATTTTCCCCACAGGAGGCCCCGAGGCAGCGCGGCCTTGCTGTGCGGGCCTCCTCCCTCACGCCGCTCACCCCGCTCTCCGTGGCAGGTCGCCGCTTTCCCACGGCCTTGCAGCCCCGTCTCCTCCATCGTGGCACCTCCAGGTCGAGGGGAAAGGGAACGAGGACAAGGCCACACCTCACGCCTGTCCCGCGTTTTACCACACGAGCACACGCGGGGCCCCTCCCAGCGGCAGGCGTTGCGCAGGCCTCCTGGCCAGGCGGGGTCCCCTGCTCGCAGCGGGAGGGTGGTCCGGACCGAGGGCCTGAGCAGCGGAGGGCCCGACCCGACGGGAGGGCCAGGGGAAGGTGGCAGAGGGACAGTCCCCAAGTCCCCGGCCGCAGCGGCCCAGCCAGCCCGTCCTCGCCGGGTACACGGGAGGCTGAGGGGCGACTCGAGTGGCTCCGGCAGGGAAACGGGGCGGGCGTGTGGAGGGGACGCTTTATTCCCTGCTGTGACTTAGACACTGCTTGCGTTTGCATGTGCACAGGAAACAAACAAAACGTGATTTTCAAAAAAGAAGCCAGCCACAGAGTTATGGCTTTTAAAATGCTCTATTCAGAAAACTTTTTAAAAAAGTACTAATTAGCCTTTGGATTAAAAAAAGAATTCGTAAGGCACATTATAAAATATTTAGAATTTAACAACAGTGACATCTCTAAGTAGAAGTTTGTGGGACACGTTTAAGGCCACATTAGAAACCATTGGGGAGTGTTTGATATGTTTGTCTGAAAATAGGAAAGACTGAAAAGTAATCAACTCGGCCGAGGATCTGTAGAAACAGCCCAAAATTAAACCCAAAGAGATAAAGAAAAGGAAGGGACAATAAAGACACAAGCGAAGATGGAATAGAACCAGACATAGACGTGGTGAACAAAATCGAAGCGACTCTCTAAAAAGTTTACTTCCGGACTGATTAGGGAAAAAAGAATGAGGACAAAGGGGCAGATAAGAAATTGAAAACCACAGGAATTTAATAATTCTTTACAAAATTAAAGTAGAAGCGAAGCCTCTCTCCCGCCGCACACACAGCGGCCACGAAGCCGCAGGCCCGGCAGGCGTCCCGGCTTAGGCCCACCACGCCCTCAGGGAGCAGGAACCGGCCGGACAGAGAAACTCCCAGAAAAAGAGAAACACAGGGAAACTGGCCCAGCCCATTTTTATACAGCTGGTGAAGAGATAGCAAAGAAGGCACAAGGTCTGTACACTCTAAACCAGGTTCATTTATGGGCATGAATTTTAAAAATCTTACCATATTCTTGTCCTGGCCAGTGTGGCTCAGTGGATCGACCGTCAGCCTGCAAACCAGAGGGCCACCAGTTCAGTTCCCCGTCAGGGCACAGGCCTGGGTTGCAGGCCAGGTCCCCAGCAGGGGGCGCGCGAGAGGCAACCACACATCGATGTTTCTCTCCCTCTCTCCCTCTCTCCCTCCCTCCCTTTCCCTCTGTCTGAAAATAAATAAATAATTATTTTTAAATAAAGTTAATGTGTTCACTAACTAAAATCCAACAGCATGTTAACGTCACATAAATTGATCTCCGGAACACAGGGATAGTTCAAATCATGAATTTTTAACATGGCAGTTCACCAAGTTAAAGAAGGAAAGAAAATCATCACACTCGCACAGATGAAAGCACTGCATGAAGTTTAAGACACACCTGTGATCTTTTTTAAAAATTTAGGAGAAAAGGGCTGGAGGGAGGTTTCCTGACTGATAAGGACCACGTCCCTCAATCCTGTGGCAAGAGCGGCGGGCCCCTAACGTGAGGTTGGGGGTGACATGAGGCCGTTTGTTCCCACGCTTCCTGCTCAGCGTTGCTCTGGACGTGCCGGCCAATGCAATAAGACAAGAACAAGGAATATGCAGTGTAACCACTAGGCGGCAAAGAGTCAGCAGCTGTATGATTGCGTATCTCCAGATAACGTGATAACTCATAGTGAAATGCCAAAGTAATCAACAGAATAACTGTTCCCGCTAATCGGAGGTCGGCATGGTTGCTTGAGACCAAAGTCAGTAGCAACCCTTGAAGGCACTAAAAAAGGAATAATAGGAAAAATGTTATTTTAAAAAAGAGCGTAATGTATAAAATAGTCCTGAATTAATCTTGAGACCCACAAGTCCCTTATGGGGCGGGGGTGGGGGGCTCTGAAACACCGTCCCAGGTCTTAACGGGAGACAAGGACAGGGACGTGTTCCCGCCCTGCTGGAGGTGGGGCAGGCTGCGAGGCGATGCCGGAACCCTGGCCGCGGCTGCCCAGGCTGTCCCCAGATTCCTGCAGGCCAGAGGCTCTGCTGGGGGAGGCAGCTCTGCCCTCCTGGCATGGTGGCCCCTCTGGGCCTGCCTTGGACCCCGCTGGCCCGCAGCGGACTGAGTGCCGGCCCCTGGCACCAGCACCCGTGGCTAGGCACCGCCACAGCCGTCCTCGAGGCCACCCGTCCCCTGCTGGGCTTGCGGTCGGGGACAGGGCGCCCCAGCCTGTGCCCCACAGTCGGGCCTGGGACAGTGGGCCGGTCGGTGTTCTCTGCTCAGCCCTCCGAGGCTGGCATTCCTGAGAGACACTGGGTGGTGACCAGGCCTGCCTGGGTTCTTCCCGGCCCACCAGGCCAGGAATGCCGGGGCGTGCTGGAGCATGCCTGTCTGCGGCCTGGCTCGGCCGCGCCGCTCGGGGCGTGCGGGGGCGGGGGCGGCTGGACCCCGCAGGAGACCTGGGGTGAGCGCTTCTCGAGCCTGCAGGCGGGGCTGGGGGGCTTGGACTTCCGGGGTGACTTGGAGGAGCCTTGCCAGGGGATGCTCCCGTGTGCTCTGCTACCTGGCCCCGGACTTCCTGCATGAAGTGCAGTGACCGGCGGCCGCTACGGTGCTCTGCCGCGCCGTGTCCCGGCATGCGCCCTGACCCTGGCCAGGGGTCCCACTCTGCAAACCCTTCCTGAGCCCGGGGCGGAGTCCGGCCCGGGCCCAGGGGTGGGATGTCAGTGCTGTGGGCTCCGGGCAGGCCAGAGGCAAGGCTTGGCCAGTGATTCAGACGTAGCCTGGGCCCAGGGCGGCCGCTGCCACCCCAGGTCCGGGAGGGGGCATAGGGCTCGCCCGGGAGGTGTGAGCGGAGGGTCGCAGAGGGGCAGGGGGCGCGATGGAGAGCTTGGGTTTGATCCCAGGGGCACTGGGCAGCTATGGCGACTTTAAGGCAGAGGAGGGGCTGGGGAGGGGTCTGTGTGAGGCAGCTCTTGGCCGCCAGGATGGAGGGGAGCAGGCGGAGCTGGCACAGGGCACAGAGGGGCAGGCGAGGAGTGGGCTGAGGCCTGAGAGGGGCCGCCGGGGGAGGGGGAGGAAGGGGCGACTCCCCCTCATTCAGCCTGAGCAGCCAGGGGAGGTGCTTGTAAAGAAAGTGGGGGTGCTGAACAATGGGGCCTGTGGGTGAGACCAGCGAGTGGGGAGGGTCCAGAGGCCCTGGCACAAAACGGAGACCAGAGCGGGGGCGGAGGGGCTCCAAGCGGTCACCCAGGAGGGGCGTCGGGTCCCAGCGACAGCGGCCAGGCTGGGGCGGGGGACTGCGTGCCGGTCACGGTGCCACGGGGGGAATGCTCAGCCGGCACCGCTTTCTGGCCAGCAGCCAGGGGTCCACTCAGTGCTAGAAGCCTGTCTCAGTGACTCAAAGTGCACACAATATTGGAAAATTCTCTCTACCCTGAAATCTGGAAACCACTTAGCACCCAGCAGCAGGATGTATAAAGGAAACGCTGGTCCAGCCTGAACGATATACCTCTTGCTTTTATGGCGTCTGTCTGGCGATCTTTCTGGAACTCACACCTGACCGCTGTGACCCCAGCTCAACCACCCACCCAGCTCCCCGCTGCCCCCACCACCCTGCTCCAGCCCGGCCCCGCCATCCGGCCTGGCCTACGGGCTGGGGGCCGCCCTCTGCTTTGCACAACACACCAGCATCTCTCGTGGGCCCTCGGGGCTCCTTCCCGCGCCGCCTTCCTCCGAGCACGTCCTGCCTCTCTCCCCTCCCACCCTCACCGTGCCCCTGCTCCCACCCCAGCGCCTCTGTTGTCAGGACCCTGGGGGGCGGGAGTGTGGGTGTGCCCAGTGCGCCATGTGGACCGCAGCAGGGGCGCGCGCTGTGAACTGCGGTGGGGTGCGGAGACCCTGCTGGCGGGGAGCAGCCTGCAGCCCCGCCAGGCCTCGGTGTGATTGGCCGCCCGGTGCTCCTGGGTGGGCCCTGCCCTCCCCACCAGGGTCCCAGGATGCTCTGCTGCTGGCCCCCGTGGACCTGGGCTGTGCTTCGCAGGCAGAGCAGAGGAGCGCCTTCTGCCCCCCCACCCTTGGCCCAGCGCAGCAGAGGCTGGCACCGGCAAGTCCGTGTTCGCCGAATGAATGGAGGCGCGGAGGCAGAGCTGGGGGCAGAGCGCAGCCGGCTCCACCTCCCGCCCCAAGCCCGGAGCCTCCCCAGAGCGAACTCGCGGCTCCTCCGACCACACAGGCCGCCGCAGCGCCGCCTCTCCGCGCTCCTCTTGCTCAGCAGTGCCACGCCTGCCCCCCAACCCCTCCCCGGGCAGCCACCCTGCTGCGGACCAAGTCAGTGGCCTCGCGTCTCTCCCGCGCCCCGCGCCCTTCAAGTGCCCCTCCCGGAGCCGGGGGGGTCCACCTCCAGCAAGCCCGGGGTCCAGGCCTGCGGTGGCCACGGCCTCAGGTCACCGCCATAGTTGGGCTCCAGTTGAGGCTGGCCCCTTCGGGGGGCGGGTGTCCTATGCCCGCCCGCGGGCCCCACCCGTAGCGCCGGCCTCGGCAGGAATGTGCGCGGGGCCGGGGGCGGGCGCTGGAGCGTGGCCGGCGCCGGGCCGGCCGCGACACGCTCGCTCGGGACGCCGCGCTCCAGGGCGCGTTCTGCCGCCCCACCCCATCCCGCGCCGCAGGACCTGCCAGGGGATCCCCGTCCTGAGGTCCCGGGACCTGGGCAGGCGGAAGAGGTCGGCACTCTGGCCCTCGCCCCCGTGCCCGCGTCCCCACGCGGCCCGAGCCGGGCCAACGGCGCGCAGGCGCGGGCTTGTCCGACAGCGCGCTGCGGCCGCCGGGGCGGGCTGCTGTGTGTGTGTGCGCGCGGGGGCGCGCGCGCGCACGCGTACAGGGAGGGCCCCGGACCTCCGGAGCTCCGCCGCACTCCCTTTGTGCACCTTGTACCAAGCTTTGCTCAGGAATGCGTCCCCGCACACAGGGGCCCCGCCTGGGCCACCGCCTCCAGCCAGCATCCCCAGGACCGGGCCTGGCTCCGCCCTCTCCCGCATCCTTGAAGAGAGGCGCCCCTTCGCCCCTTCGGAAAGGCCGCCTGCGGTCTGTGACAGTCCCGCGGTCGGGCAGGGGCCGGAAGCAAGGACTGCCCCCTGGGGACTGTGTCCACCCACCAGGTGGCCAGGAGAGCGGAAACCACGGCCCCACCTGAGAAACCGGTTGCAGGGCCTGCGAAGCCACAGTGCCTCTTCCCCCGTGGAGCCTCCCGCAACCTTTCTCCCCCCTGCCCAGCCCAGCCACCCCGGGCCTTGTTGCCCCTCAGCGGCTCCCAGCAGCGGAGCCCTGCCCCCATCCCGGCTTGGGATGTCAAGACTCTGCCCCCAGGAGCGCGGCCGCTTGTCCGGGGGCCGGGGTGCTCGGGGGTGCTTGCCTGTGTACTCTAAGTGGGAGACTCGTTGGCGGGGGTGGGGGGCAGGGGGAGAGGAAACCAGCACATTTGGGGGTGAGGGGCCAGGGTCCAACACCCTGACCAGCACCAGGCACCCCAGGGCCTCAGGGCCGTCAGCTGTGGCGTGGAGATGCAGGGGCAGCTGGGGAGCTGGGCGAGGCCTTGCTGGCTGGCCACGCGGGGCCACTGGGCTCTGGGGCTGGGGTGGGGGGCAGGGCTGGGGCTGCAGAGTCACGCTCTGAGTGAAGGTGGGGGCAGGCCTAGGGCCCCCGGAGAGGGGCAACCGCCGGCCCGCTGGGGCGTCGGGCCGCAGGGCCACGAGACCTGCTCCTGCCGGGGCTTCCTGCCCGGCCTCCCCTGTGGCCCAGCTGGCAAGGCCCGGGCCAGCCCGGCTCCCTGCAGTTGGCAGGCGTCGGAGGGCGGGAAGCCGGCCCCCGCCCTCGCCCACTGAGACAGGAATCCGGGGCCCCGGGGCACGGAGTCCACCGTGCATTCCAGGTGCCCTGGTCGCCACCGGGCATGGGCGGGGCGCGGCTGGCACCGCAGAGCGTGGGAACAGGCCGCTGCCAGCACCCAGGCGGGCTGCACCCTCTGCCTGGCCTCCTCTGCCCTCTGCGGAGGGCCTGGGTGGGGCCAAAGGGGGTGGCCCACCTGGCCGGGAGGCGGGGCCTCTGAGAAGGGCGGGGCCTGGGTCCCTGCCCTTGCAGCAGAGGCCGGTCGGCTCAGGACCCAGGGGAGATGCAGTTTGGACCCCCTACGGGGCACCCTGGGCTGACAGGGACCTCGGCGGGAGAGGGCGCTGGTGGGCTGTCCCTGGTGGGGGTCACGCGGAGCAACAGGGTCCCGGTGCACCAAGGAGCGTGCTCACGCGCGCACGCACGGCTGGCCTGTGGCAGCGCGTGTCCTGGCAGGACGGCAGGCTCCTGTCCGGGCTGCAGCCCCAGCAGCGCCCCGGGAGGGGCTGACCCTGCTGGCTGCGGCAGCTGAGCCAGCCCTGCAGGCCCCAGTGCCCCGAACACAGGCTGCTGGCCCGCCCAGGTGCCTTGTGCTGGGTGGGGACAGAGTTGTCCCTGTGGACGCGGGGACCAACAGGGCTCAGGCTGCGGCCAGGGACGGGCACTCTGTCCTGGAGCTGGCCCTGACCAGCACAGCAAGGTCCCCCCCCACACACCAGGTGGGGAATCAGGCCCAGAGAGATCAGGCAACTTTCCAAAAGTCACACAGCAAGTCACACAGCGAGGAGGCAGATTCTAGGGCGACGTGGAGAACCCTCCCAGACCCGGACCTCACACCCTGAGAGCCAGGGCGGGCAGCTTCCCTCCTCCGGCCTCAGCTTCCTCGCCTGGGGAGTGGCCTCAGAGCCCAGGTCAGCCTCTTCTGCCCCGGGGCCGCCGCCAGCTCCCAGCTCCCGGCTCCCGGCTCCCGGCTCCCGGCTCCCGGCTCCCAGCGGCTGAGGCGGCCTCACTCCGCAGCCAGCGCGCGGCGCCCCCTGGTGGCCGCCTGTGGCTTGACGCCGCTTGTCCCCGCAGGTGGCGGTGGAGCTGGCGGGTGCGACAGGCCCCAGAACGGCGGCGGGGGCGGGGAGTGCGGGCGGGGGTGCCGGGAGGCCATGGGGCAGAGGGGCCGCTGGGCTGCGCGGAGTCCCTGGGTTGATCCACACATGGAGGGCCTGGGAAGACATTGTCTCCTGGGGTGTTGGCAGGGGAGGCTGCGGACACCAGCTCAGGACCTCAGCGCCGAGCCCTTGGGCCCCCGAAGGCCATTAGGGCGCAGGGACATGGGCCCCGGAGGGTGGCTTCAGGGAAGCAGGGTCCGCACCAGACGGGAGGGCAGTGACCACGGGGGTGCTCGGACATCGGGCGTGGTCATTCCGGGGCCTCTGGGCCGCCGGGCGGGGTATGGGAGACCCCCTGAGGCCCCAGGACATTGCTGTCCGCCCCCCTCAGACCAGGGTGCCAGGCCCCTCGAGGCCTCCCCCGGCCCCTCCACCCCCAGAGACGCACCCCGTGGCGGCCACCGCAGCACCGGCCGGGGGCCCCGGGAGTGTCGGTTGGAGACGTGAGTGGGTGGGTGAGTGTGCAGCCGCAGGCCGCCCCGGCCGCCCCTGCAGGTTGGGGTCAGTGGGCTGTGGCCTCAGGGCAGGAGGGGCCCAGGGTCACCCACCTGTACTAGAAGCCAGATCATCGTGCCGAGTCGTGTATCTGAGGTGCTGGGCATCGTCCCTGCACCCAGAAGGTTGTGGGTTCGATTCCCAGTCAAGGCTCAGGCCTGGGCTGCGGGCCAGGCCCCCAGCAGGGGGCGCGCGCGAAGCCACAACACAGGGATGTTTCTCTCCCTCTCTCCCTCCCTTCCCCCCTCTCTAAAAATAAATACATAGAAAACAGGTATTTTTAAAAAGCCAGGCCATCACGATGTTCCGAAACAATAGGGCCTGGTTTGCTGTTTTGTAGGAAAACAGGCAGAGGTGGTGGGGCTGTGTCTGGAACCCGGTGGACAGCAGCCGGCCGGCCCGAGAGCGCACAGCGGGTGCTTCGCTTCAGGGCTGGGGGCGCCCAGGACGCCCCCAACCCTGTCTGCGTCAGGTTCTGGGATCGGGGGCCTCAAGAGCAGACCTGAGTTTGAACGAACCGCCGTTTTTCCTTCGCAAGTTGACGCCCTTTGGGGCTGAGAGCTTTCCCAGGGGGACACCAACCCGCCCTGAGACGAGGCCGGGGGAGGGGCAGAGGCGCACGTCATCGGAACCCCCAGGGGACGGTCGTCCACATCAGCGTCTCAGGCTGTGAGAGGCTGGCGCCCCCGTCGGGTCTGCTCACAGGGGCGGAGGGCACCCCGGGCCCTGCGGGGCCTCTTCCGTTGTGGGTGAGATTCACTCCGGCGGCGGCTCCGAGGGACCCCCGGAGCTGCCCTGCGGACGCGGCTGCCAGGCGGGGAGGACCTCGTCGGCAGGGAGGGTGGTCGCGGATCCCACAGGCACAAATAACCAGCGTCCTTAGGGCCCGCTTGCAGGGCCACGGGCGACGGAACACGGGAAAGGTTGTGCGGGCCCATCCCACCTGCCCAGCTGGCCACTCCGGCCACCGCTGTCAACTGCTAGAGAAACAAGCCCCCGCACAGCGTCTTCTAGGAAACCGCAGCCCAGTGCACGAACAGGGTGGAGGGACCTCGGAGAAAAGGGCGGCCTCCTCTCAAAGGGCCAGAGGGAGCGGCTCAGAGACGGAGCCCTCTGTCTGGCCCGGGGACCGGGCCGTGTGCCGAGGGCAGCTGGCTGTCGCGGGGCACAGGGAGGCCCGTTGCCTCTGCAAGCCCGCTCGGCGGAAGAGGTGGGACTCAGAGGCCCCGTTAGGCGGCAAGCTTGTCTCTGCTGTCTGAACTTCACGCGTGAACAGCGGCGCTCCCGCAGGCAGCGGCGTTGCGGGGGGCCTCCGTCCGCGGGGGCTCAAGATCGAGGTTTCGGTCGCCTCGCTTCCGGCCCTGTCTCCTGGGCTGCGGCAGGGCGCAGCGCTCAGCGGACTCGGCCAGGCCCTTTGCGCTGGAGCAGAACGACTCGGTTCAGCCGCAGGGAGCACAGCGCTGAGGCCACCCCACGGTCGCAGCATGGAGGGCAGGGCGGGGTCCTCCCGCCGGGCGGCTCGGGGTTGGCTGTGCTGGCGGGCGGGGGGACGCCCTGGACTCCGGGGCCCCGCGGGGCCCGTGCCCACAGACGGCCTCAGGAAAGCCCCAGGAATTGCCAGGTCTGAGCCCGATCACAGCAGAAGGTCGTGGGTGTTCCGCGTTCCCAGGCCGGGACTCCAGCGGCTTCTCCTTCGTCCCCGGGGGCTGCTCTCCTCCGAGTGGGGCGGACGCCGGCCCGCCTGAGGGAAGTCCAAGGAGCCAGGTGAGCAGGCTGAGGGACGCCGTCTCAGCAAACCCGTGGGGCCATCCCGTCAGAGCGATCCCCAACTCTGGCTCGCGATTCAGCTTTCGTCCAGGGAATGTAAGAAACCAGGGCGTGGCATTTGGGTCCTCAGAGGGTCTGACTCTGAAAGGGCAGCTCTAGCAGCCTCGAGGGAGGGAGGCGCGGGGGCAGGTCCTGGGGACAGTCCAGGGAGAGGCCCAGATGACAAAGCGGGTGACACAGAGTGGGCGGGCGCGGCGTGAAGGGAGAGGCTGGGCGCAGCTCGCCGCCGTGTGCCTGGAGACAAGGGCGTCGTGGGGACTCCAGGCCAGCGGGTGAGGGTCGCTCCTCCAGGGCCAGGCATCAGGCTGGGGAGACCCCAGGGGGCGGACCGCCCGGCTCGGCTCGCTGTGGGGTCCACCTCCTCCACCCCCCCCCGCCCCCCCGCCCCCCCGCAAGCACCGCTTTGCTGGGGCCGCCCAAGGCGGTGTGCACACTGACGGGGCGGGGCAGGGAGGGAGGGAGGGAGAACAGGTGTTTGTTACACATTTTAAGCTCCACCGCTGAAAGACTTTCTCAAAGAAGGGGCCAACTGGGCCCTGCTAGGAAGGAAGACCAGGCCCGGGACTCGGAGCTCGAACCAGCAGTAGCAGCAGCAGCCCCAGGAAAGACAACGCGTCCCCGGTCAGGGTCCCACCGGGTGTGGGGGGCGATGCCAGCCGCTCCGAAAGCCTCTGCATTGGCTGCGGCCAGAGGGGGCGGGCGGCGGGCGCAGAGCCCGAGGCAGGAGCGCCTGCTCCCCGGTGTGGGCTGCGGGGGAGTCTGGGGAGTTCACACGTGCGTAGGACGGGGAGGCTCCTGGTGCGGAGGCACCTGGCGCGTCTCCCCTTTGCGTGATCGCGGAAATGGCCGCCTAGAAGTTTTCGCGAAGTTGCGACAGACAAGCCGCAACGGGAGCGGACGTGTGTGTTTGCCTACAGCTGTTAATGCTGGGGGAGGCACGGGCCACCGTGACCCTGCCTGCCTGTGGGCGGCTCAGGATGTGCGGCTGCCGCCAGGCGGCGGAGCAGCGCCTGAGTCGCGGCTGATCGGCCGGGGCCGCGCCCCCGGGGCCGCGCTCGAGACGGCCAGACGGGGCCGCCGCGCTTCCCACCACGGAAAGCGCCGGACTCCGCGTCCCTGCCCACTGGGTGGCCAGGGAACTTCAGCGATTGCCCGGAAGGGACCTGGGAGACTTTCGTCCGAGGGCGGCGGGGCATTCTCTGAACCACAAAAGTTCCCAGCAGGGGCATGTGCATCATCCCCTGTCTGGGGAACCGAGGGAGGAGGGACCCGGCCCAAGGCAGCGCGGCCACGCGCAGCCCCAGCGCCCTCCAGGGGCCCCGGCCGCTGCCGGCCCAGATACCCTCCCCCAGACACCCGCCTTCCCAGGCCCAGCTCCACGGAGGACAAGCTGGTCCCGCGGGCCCGTCCTCCTGCTGCGGCCTGGCCCGCAGCCCCACCGGCACCCGAGGAGCACAGGCAGGCACCGTGGGAGCACCCCGGGCCCGGGCCCCCCCCAGTGCCGAGGCTGCAGCCCCCGCAGCACAATGAGGTGCGTGGCGGGAGAAGGCCAGGCAACCGGCCCGTGGGTGCTGGTCCACGCCGGCCCTCCTGTCCCCTCCTGCTGGTGCTCTTGGGCACCGTCCAGGGCCAGGTGGGACCAGAGGCGTGGGAGCTGAGGCCCAGGGCAGGCCTGGCGGCCGTGGGAGTGGGAAGAGACAGCCAGGATGGATGGTGGGCGGGTGGCGGGGGGAGAGATGCGTGGGAGGGAGAGCAGGGGCGTGTTGCTGTGGGGTGTAAGTGGTGGGGTGTGGGTCTCGCCCTACAGTTCCTGAAACCGCCCCGCAGGCAAAGGCATAACACGGTGTCGGGGAGACTCATGGACCCGTGGCAACGCAGGCCCCTGCTGCTCGGTGAGGAGGGAGCTGAAGGAGAGAGAACGAAAGCCGCTGGGAAACCCGCCTGAGCCGAGGGTGGAAACAGTGTGTCCAGACCCGGGGCAGAGGGGGGGCGGGGAAGGGCGTGTGAGCGGGGGCTTCCCCGGAGCAGGAGCAGAGCCGCAGGCAGGAAGCGGGCTGAGCCTGGCCCGGGGGGCGGGGCAGCTGCCGAGGGGTGCGAGGCGATCTGGGGGTGAAGACCGCACTCTACGCTCAGTTATGCTGGTGGTCACACCATGGGGTGCATTGGTGGGGAGTCGGCTGCTCACCTAAAGGCCGTGAATTGTAGTGCACGTAAGCTATCCCTGAATTTTGTAAAAATTCAAATTAAAATAAAAGAAGTTGGAGGGGAAAAAACCAGGAAAGTGCAAAGGAAGCTGAAAAACAAGTTAAAAATAAGATTGGGAATCGGTGACATGGGAAAAACAGAGGTGCCGTGAAGATCAATGAAGACAGAAGTTCTCTGGAAAAATTCATCAGCCCGTGAGACAGGGCAGCTGCCGAGAATATCACACAAAAGCAAAAGGAAAGAAAAGATGCAGCACAAATCAAAAAGAGGTTACGATGGAAGATTTAAAGGCAACAAGAAGCTGCACACTGGCGGAAAATATCTGCAAACCATGTATCAGATAAAGGGTGTGTGTTGAGAACACCAAGCGGACCATGGACCATCCGAACTCAGCAGTAAAGAAACAAATGACCCAATTTAAAAATGGGTCAGAGGTCTGAGTGCAGTGGAGGCAGGTGTGGGGGCGACAGGGAGGCCTCCCCGCTGCATCATCGGCAAATGCAGGTCAAACCCCGGGGGCGCACCCCGCACACTCAGTGAACAGGCAGGAAAGAGTTCGGCAACAGAGTGGCCGCGCTGAAGGCGGCATTCGTGGCGCCTCTGCGGGGACAGCGCCGCGCGGTGGTTTCTCACCACCTGATGACCCAGCAATTTCGCTCCCAGCTCAAGAGAACCGAAAATGTAGGTTCCTGCAAAAAAACCTGTACATGAGCCTTACGGCACCTTTGCTTACGACCCCCAAACGCTGAGAGCCCCGCCGGCGCCGTCCGTCCGGCGGACAGACACGGAGCTGGCCGGTCCGTGACCTGCGGAGCGACTCGCGGTAAAAAGGAAGGCGCTACCCACGTGCCCGACACGGGTGAATCTCAAGTGCGTTTCCTGTGGCAAAGACGCCAGATTCAAAGGCTGTCACATT